ACTGGATGCAGTTAGCAACTACTTACCAAACCCCTCAAACTGAGGTTATGGTGAAAACATCATGAGCAGTCACTGCTCCAAGCATCAATCAGGCTGCCAATGGATTCCCAACAAGAAATTCAAATCAGTGAAGTTGGAGAAAAAACACCTTCTGCAACAATGTTGTTGCACTTGTCAGAGCAACAACGACCACGTACACTTCACTTATCACATGTAACATCAATTGTTATGTTTGGGGAATGGCAAGTGCCTGGCTCATATTAAGCTTCATTACAATTCCAGCTGGAAACACATTCAAGCTTATGTTCCTGCTGATACAGTTTGTAATGTTCTTGCCCTAGACTGTTACAACTCCAATAAAGGTTCTTCAGATCAGTGGCATGTATTTCAATTTGTGACCACTAAATCCAGGCTTTAGTTTTGGGCATTGAGGGTGCACAAGTCAATGCTTTAAGAGGTGGACCTAAAGTTCACATTTACATAAAGACCCCTCTCACTATCCGTATAGAGGGGATCAAGCCTCCAGACACAGGCCAGCAGAAATTGCTTAAGCAAACAAGTTAGTCCAAATCCAGATCTGGAATAGATGGCTTCCCAATTCAGAGGGAGTGCGAACAGGAGGACATTCAGGCCCTTAACCTATCCTACCATTTGACAGATTGGAGTGAAGTGGAGATCCACGGAAGACATGGGCATTGCTGGCTTGGCTGACATTTACGGCCCATCCCTAGCTTCCTAAAGTAGGGAACTGCCTCCAGGAACTGCTGCAGTTCTTGCATCTACCTCCACCCTACCCACAACACTACAATCATCCCATTTGATCTTTTCAAGAGACTCAACTGTTCAAGGCAACCTATCATCCTAGGATGAAATACAAGGCTTCTGTTTCATTTATAGGCATGGAAAAGGTGGTGACCTAGACGACCTGGGAGCAGATGTAGTGTCTGGTGCTTCCAAGAACTGTTGAGAAACCACCTATGGTACATTCTTTCCCAACTGGTTGCCGCACCTGCAAACATTTAATGGAGAGCATCTCACTGCTGTTATTCCCCCAGAGAATACTGTTCTTCCTACTAAATAGACATCATTTTGCAGGTCTCTGAATTCTTGCCCACTGAACATTACACCTCTAATGGAGGGGGCTGGGGAGGGGGGGGGGTGGTGCAGGATGCAATTGAGAGTCAGCACATTGCTGTGGGTCTGGAGACAAGCGTAGGTTAAGCCAGGCAAAAACAGGAGGCACCCTTCCTGAAAAAGGAAAGATTTCTATAAAAGTGTTGACAGCAGTTACATGGTCACCATTTCATGACTTGCTGTGGCAAAATTTCAATCAGATGATTCCCCTGAAAATTAGCCTGAGGTTCTGGGTTGCTAGTCTAGTGGCATTACTACCCATCAATTCTTACCAAATTGTACCCATGTCTGCAATCTAATTTATCAATTAGACATTTAGTTTTATGAAGGACCCAGAGATTTTGTGAATTGAATTCCAACATTCACTTGCCAGCTTCGGTGACCCATTCATGCATGTCTTCTATTACAACTGGAAGGTCCCTTTCTTCAAATTACATGCCTGCACTGCAAAGTTCTTCCATCACATTTACTGTGGCACCTTCACATGCCTTTAGGCAACAGGCCATCTGCCAGTTCTCCTTCATGCACATGGCTCATTACTTTCTCAGTAAGGCCATTTAAAACACTGCTGGCCTTCCACAGGAGGAACTCACTTGGACCACATCTGGGTGCACAGTCATCCTGACCAGAGGGAGAGCAAACCTCAGCACTGCAATGCAAGTCCACCTGGAAAGAAGCAGAGATTTTAGGGGAGCTTCTTGTAGCCAAGTCCAGGTTGTAGTACAGAGAGCGAGCAAGAGGATTTCATCAGCTTGGTCACCTGTTCGGAGAGGGGCTGCTCAGACACACCATCCAAGAAAACAAAGGTCTTCACTTCAAACTGCTTGTGACGGGTTGGGAACTGCAGGCCAGAAGAGGCATCTACTGGGTGTAGGACAGTCAGGTAGTCATCACCCTCATAGGGGCACCTGAAACACAAAGGTTCAGTCAGTGGCAATAGGAGAGATATTGATCTACTGCAATGACATCTTGGCCATTTACGGCAGCAGCCTCCAAGACCAGAGGGGAGTTTCTGAAAGAACGAGATTTGTTCTTGTTCTCCTTGGTCTAACCTAGTTGCTCACAGGTGTGAACTGGGACATTGAAGTCAGTTCTAACTAAGAGCTATTCAAGCAAGTTACAAACTATCCAACAGAACATTGCGTTGGAACACCTCCTGCATTGATGCGCTCTTCAGATGAAGAAATGTGAACTGAATAGTACTCCAAATGATCCCAATTTAAACAATTAGGCAAATTCAACTAGTCATGATTCCATTCTAGAGTGCAGGCTTGGTGAGCTATAACAGCATGTATAGGGTTTCTTACAGTAGTGGTAGTGTCCTTACCTTTTGGCCAGAAGTCTTGGTCCAAGTTGCATCTCTTCCAGGGGTGTGGGTGGCCAAACAAGTGAATTAAAATTACCGGTGACCTGGACAGGATCCCAGGTTACAGAGGCTGAACTGACTGTCTCCACTGTATGGTACTTTGCTTTTGTTATTCAGGATATTGAGCTGTGTTCTTCTATGTGCATGTAGATATTCCAGGAGATCGACACTGTGCATTCCTGGCTTGGAAAATGTGACCCAGCGCAACGCTAATAAAATTGCAGTTCAGTGACAATTAGGTGGGCTGATTTGAGGTTAGATTATGACTAGAGCGCGATCACTTGCTTTTCAGACCAGAGGATGTAGAAACATCTGTGACCTTGGCCTTGGCAGGAGCAGCTTGAAGACAATGGTTTTTGTGATAAGACAAAGCCATTAGCCTTTCCATTCAGAGACCTTACCCATCCACCAGGAGACTCCACTGCACCTCATGGTCAGGGGCTGGCACAGGAGTTGCCCAGCAGTCACGCAATCTCAGGACAATCACTGGGTCAGTGCGATCCTTCACACGAACATCAACAAACACCGACTCCCGAAGGATTCTCTCAATGGGGTAGTCACTGTCCTTGTACCACAGCCTGTAGTTGCCATCTAACAGAAACAAGGAGAACAAGCCAGTCACTCCCTGAAGGAATACATTCCAGTGCTCTATTACCAGGGCAGCACTACCTTTTGCTATTCACAGTTCCTGCCTCAGAATCCCATCTTCAGAAGCAGCTGGGGGTGGAGGGAGTGTGTAAACTGAGACATTGATTTGTAAGCCAGCCTCATGCTCCCCCTTGTACTTGCACCGGATGTGCAAGCTGTTGAGAGACACAAATAGGTGGTGGAGTTTCTGTCAGTAACCCTTCCCTCTACATACCAACAAACCCCTCTGCCCTCTCACCCGAGGGTGCTGTCCCTGTTTATTGAGCCCTGTGGCCCCGTCTCAATCATCCTCTTCCCCAAGATGTCTGTTTCATATGCAAAGCTTCCAGTCTCCTCCTGCAATGGAGGGCACTGTTTAATAGGGAGCTGGCCCATTCAAAAGGGACAGAATGCCAGACCCTCCAGTACTCACCCACTGGGTCAAGCCACAAGAGGCAATTGGGAAGCAGAAGGCTACAAGTTTCTGTGATGACCTTAGGCCTGCACTCAGCTTCTTGTCCATCTTTCACATCGAGATACAGGTTGAGGGCAGGATGGGTCAGGTTCCTGGCGATTGCGAGAATGAACTGGCCATCTGCTGTACACACTGCAATGAAATACAATGCAAGGGTTTGAGAATGAATTCCCTTCTGAATTCACATTGGAAACTGATTCAAATGTTGATGGTCAGTGTCCAGAGGGTTCCACAAAGTGAAGTGTGGTGTGAAACCAGGATTGACAGGAAATAGACTGAACAGAATTGGCAGGGTCATAGCCGTCCCCTCGCTTCCCCAAAAGGGAATCTTGACTGTGCCAGAGACTACAGCAACAGAGGGGATTCTGAGGGACAGGATTTATATGTATTTGGAAAAGCAAGGATTGATTAGGGATAGTAATCATGGCTTTGTGCTTGGAAGTCATGTCTAACATGACAGCTTTTTGAAGAGGTGATAAAGACTGATGCAGGCAGACCAATGGATATTGTCTATATGGAATTCAGTGAAGCATTAGACAAAGTTCCACATGGTGTCTGGTGACTAACTAGTCAATTGGATTGACATTTGGCCCGAAAGTAGTAGAGAGGGGGACACGGTGGAGATTTATTTCTCAGACTGAAGTTCTGTGACCAGTGGTGTGCCGCAAGGATCAGTGCCTGTTCCACTGCTTTCTAATTTATGGATATGATTACAGGAGGTATTGTTACCAAGTTTGCAGATGAGACAAAAATTAGGTGCACTGGACAGTAACAGTATTCAGTCCAACGGGATTTCAGATGGGCCAATGGGCTGAGGAGTGGCAGATGGAGTTTAATTCAGATCAATGAGGTGTTGCATTTTGGCAAGGCATTTCAGGACAGGACTCCTACACTCCACGGTAGTGCCCTCAAGTGTTGCCAAACAGAAACCCAAGGGGTGCAGGTGCATAGTTCCTTGAAAGTGGAATCCCATGTAGACTGGGTCAAGGCGGTGCTTGGCATGCTTGCCTTCAGACCAAGGAGTACAGGACATAGAGACCACTTCTGGAACACTGCATACAATTCTGGTCACCCTTCATTTGAAAGCATGTTAATATTGAAAGTGCAGAAAGGATTCACAACAGTTTTGCCAGGGCTGGAGAGATTGAGCTATAGGGAAAGGCTGGGGCTATTTCCCCCAAGCATCATAGACCAGGTGACCTTACAGGTTGACAAAATCATGGACAAGGTGACTAGCCAATGTCTTTTTCCTCGGTTGGAGAGTCCAAAACTAAAATGGGACTAAGTTTAAGGTGAGAGAGGGGAAATGAGCGAAGGATTGGAGAGTTATCTTTCCACATAGGATGGTGTGTGTATGGAGTGAGCTGCCAGACAGAAAGTGGAGGAGGCTGGTACAATTACATTTAAGAAAGGCATCTGGCTGGGTATAGGAATAGGAAGGGTTGAGAGATACAGGCCAAATGGGACTAGATCAGATTGGGATGTCTGGACAGCAGGGTAGAACCAGAGGGTCTATTTCCATGCAGTTTGACCAAAATCTGGGTAAACATGGTGCCCAGTAAACATTTGACTGGGCACAGCATCCCATGTATAGTGGATAGAAGAAGTTTTATTTAAGTCAATAGACCACCATAGGAGTTCAGACTGTTCCCTTGACTGATCAGGGATCAAGTATTATCCCTCTCCAAAGGGAGGAGTAGTTTTTCCCCATAGTTTGTTCCAATTGCATGTTTCTAGCATCTGCGTTTAGTATTTTGCCAACCCACTCCATTCTTAGAGTCAGTTGTTCACCCATGGGACATGGACATGACTGGCTGACCAGCATTTATTGCTTGTCCCCAGTAGCCTTCAGGTGATGAAGAAAATCTGGGTTGGGCAACTGTTGGGAATAAGGTCAGAGTAGGCTCATTAGTAATGAGGCAGGTGCCTTGTTAACTCTTTCCAGAGAGTCACAACTACATGTTAGGATTAAAATTAGTTTAATTTTACATTCCTCAAAAGGGAGTGGTCAAAATAGTGACCAGATGACATCAGACAGGGGAGATTACATCACCTCAAAAAAAAAGCCATCTTAGTTTGGATAATACACCCAGCCATTAAAGCAACGGAACAAGAGAAAGTCTATGATTACCTTGAACCATGAGTCTCATTGACTTGGGAATGTCAGTGGGTTGCCTCTGAAAATCACAGATTCCTGGCTAACAAGACAAAACACCCTTAACGTGAACAAGAAATAAGCAGGCAGCCTTCAGAGGCCAAGTTAGTTCCTCCATAAAGAAAAAAAGGACAACTCATAGGACAAGCTCGAAGAGGATGCTTTTTACTGGAGTGTTTATACTGTCCCATTGCACAATAGTGGTGAGTAACCAGTCTTAAACTGTTTCTTCATTACAAGAACCAACTAACTGGTCAAGGTTCCTTTTAGCATTAGGGGTTTTGTAGCATTTATCAAGGTCATCATCATAGAATCCCTACAGTGTGGAAACAGACCCTGCAGCCCAACAAGTCCACAGCATCCCACCCAGACCCATCCCCCATTAGCACACCTGGTGTACACAGCCCTGAGTACTACAGACAATTTAGGTGGCCAATCCACCGACCTGCACATCTTTGGACTGTGGGAGGAAACCAGAGCACCCAGAAGAAACCTACACAAACACAGGGAGAATGTGTAAACTCCACACAGACAGTTGTCCAAGGCTGAAATCAAACCCAGGTCCCTGGTGCTGAGAGGCAGCAGTGCTAACCACTGAGCCACTTTCAGAACAGGAGCCCAGGATACCAGTTCCAAATTTGTTTTTGATGGTTGTCAAGTACTGCACAACAGTAAGTAATTGCTTACATGCTATCCAGGCAAACCTTGCCTTACACAAATACATCAGGGTAAAGGAATAAAACACAGAACACTGTTACAGCTACAGAAAAAGATCAACCCTGGAGATATTTGTTCTGAAAAGTCAAAATCAGTCGAAGTAAAAGATACTTCCAGTCTCCCCCAGCCCCACCAGAAACATGGTGGGGTTGGGGCGGGGAAAAGGAGGTGCTCAAAGTGGCAATCAAGACAACACCGCAGTTAATAGAACATTAGTACTGAACTGAAATCACGAAGTTTTACATGACAATACAATCGCACCCAAGAAAAGGCGTAAGCATCGATACTTCGCACCAGTCACTATTACACCACAAGGACATTGGAGGACAACATCCCTGGGTTATTATCTCATTTACCGGAAACAGATGGATGTGTGCCAGATATACATATATACTCACACACATACACACATCCTCGCTGCGGGATGCGGGAGGGGGCTGCTTACCCGGGCTCTCTCTCAGGTTGTAGAAACAGGGCTGCCCACTGAGTCTCGGTGACTCAAAGCAGCAGCCCTGCTTGATACAGTCAGTGCTGTTGATAGCGGGCGGGCCACACGGCAGCCTCCAGGCCGGCTCCGGGTCACAAGGAGCAGAGGCCAGGAGGGGCAGAGCAGCCCCAAGGCACAACCAACGTCCCATCGCGCTCCCTGAATCTGTACAGGGCCCTGAGCACCAGCCCGCTTTATAGCCAGCAATGAGCTCCCGGCCCACGGCTTTCTCGTGTTTAAGAAGC